TCAACTTGCTCATGGGAGCTGATCTTCGGAGCTACAAATTTCCCCGAACTGGTGCAAACTGGTCAAATCCCACCCCTGCCTCTATTTTAACATTTTTTAAAAAAAATTAACTTGCTAAAATGATTTATTCTAAAAAGGGACTGTCTGGTATAGTGGTTGAGTATTAGATTAGGACCAGTAGAATTCCACTTTTATTACTGTAATATAGCAAGTAGAGGTGAAGAATACAGAATATATTATCACATAAGTCTTGAATTAATGATGATAAGAAACAACTGCTTGTTTTCACTTCTTTTCAGATCAGGGATGATCTGTATGTAAGAGAGCCATCTTCTGTTTAACATTTGTATCTCTCAGCATAAGCCCCATCTTAATGCCCAGACCTTTCCTTGCATATAAAGGAGCTATGAGTCAGGACAGACTTTACAATTCCTACCATTTGCTTTGCACATGGAAATTCTGACATTCTGTCTCTATTCCAAGATTTTCAACTTGGACACCATTCAAATATGCACATTTCAGCTTACACACTTTTTGGTGATGGCCATGCTGGCTGCAGGAAGCTGCTCTGGACAGTCCATTCATAAAATCAAATAGTAAATGATGGATTAGAGCCGTGATGGCGAACCTATGGCACACATGCCACAGGAGGCACGCAGAGCCCTCTCTGCGTCCATGCCAGCCGTCGCCCCAGCCTACTCCCATCACGCATGTGCCTCCTGCCGGCCAGCTGGTCTTCAGGTCTCTACTGCGCATGTGTGTGGGGGCACATGCAGGGGATACCGTGTGCATGCGTGGGGGCAGGACGCATGCATGGGGAGTAGGGTGCATGTGCGGGGGGCACTTGCATTGCATTTGGGGGGGTTGGGTACTTGGCACCAAAAATGTTAACAATCACTGAATTAGAGTATTCTGCTGAGAATGGGGAATACTGTGACTTGAAGTCAATAATAGAATAACAGAATTAGAAGGGACCTTGTAGGTTTTTAAATCCAATCCCCTGTTCAAGTAGGAGACTCTATGCCTTTTTTGACAAGTAGTTATCCAGTTTCTTCTTAAAAGTCTTCAGTGATGAAGCACCCACAACTTCTGAAGTCAAGTGTTCCACTGTTTGATTCTCGTTAGTTATATGTTGGTTCTCTCCTTGACTAATTTCTATCCATTGTTTCTTATCTTGCCTTCAGATGCTTTGGAAAATAGATTGACCAGCTCTTCCCTCAAATATTGTAACACTGCTATCATGTCACCCCCTAGTTCAACCTTTCTTTGTATGTTTTAGCCCCCATGCCCCTAATCATGCTTATTGTTTTTATCTGCTCTCTTTCCTAAGACTCAACATCTTTTATATATAATGGGTTGACCAAAACTAGATGCGGTATTGCAGGTGTGGTCTTACTAAGGCTTTACAAAACGGTACTCGTACTTCACATGATTTTGTCCACAAGTCTTAAAGTTGCTGAGATTTGAAAACATAGCTCTAATAGAATAGACTAAACTATGCATGAAGTGTAAACCAGCCTCATCAAGTTCTTACCTAAACATTTTCTTGAATACTATGTAAAAACTGGTCTTTCATGTTATAATTATCTACTTATCATTCTTTTTTTGTTTTGGTCTAAATGTCATGGGAAAATATTTAATTAACAAATGTCTGAACAGGTCAAAACCACTGATCAAATTATGAATGTCCTCTATTAAAAGGTTCCACCACAAATCTGCGGTAGACTAAAGCGCGCTCGACGAAAGCACGTACCTGACGTCATCACAGCGCGACGAAAACGGCACNCTACCTACCTACCTACCTACCTACCTACCTACCTACCTACCTACCTACCTATCTATCGTTGTGTTTGTGTGTGTGTGTGTGTGTGTGTGTATGTTCCAACATAACTCTGGAATGAACGCCTCAAACAATTTCAACCAAACTTGTTACACAGATGACTTACTCTCTAGAAACAAATACTGTGGCAGTAAGACACCCCTAACACCCCTTGGGGGTGTGTGTTCTGTTAAGATACAGCCTGTTGTGTCTTAAAATGGCTTCTACCGTATTGCCATAAAATGGCTTCTACTATACAGCACAGTGGACTTGCCACGGTAATAGCTTCACAAGGGAGCTCCCTCTGGTAAGGGGGAAAATCTAACATTACAAATTACGCTTGGTCCGTGATTATTTTTGAGGACAAAGGTATGGATTAGGATAAATAAATACCCGGGAAACACCGGGTTATCAGCTAGTGTCAACTAAAATGAGCTCTGTTTGCTTCATTGTTTCTAAAATCAGCTTGTTTAAAATAACTGTAGTTTTTGCTAATCGCCTCTAGTTCAAAATGACACGTAAATGGAAGTTTTAAGCATCTTTTCTCTTCCATTTTTGGATAGATCCAGAAACAGGGGCCATAAGAACTGTATCAGTGGTCTCTGGCTGTTTTAATGGTTTGTGTGAAATGGTTCCATTGTCCTAAGAGACATCTGCTATTAGCTAGATACCTTGGAATTGAGACACTTTATGAAATCTGTTTGGCACTACATTTGTACTTTATTTTCTCCTTCTGTTTTAAGTTTGGGTTAATGAATAACTCACTTAACTGCATGTTTTTAATGTGTTTGTAATAATCTTTCTTTTGAAATAGTGTGGATCCATATGGTTTTGAAAGACCAGCTGACTTTGACTATGAAACCTATGAAGAATTCTTTTCTAGATACTTAGTGGTACTCACTCGAAGAGCAATTAAGTGGTCCAAACTTTTAAAGGGAAACACAAGGGTGCAAAAAAACATAAAAGGTAAGACTTTTCCATGTTTAAATATGAAATAAGGACAAATAGTTTTCATTTTAACTTGCAACCTTTTATCTTTTTCAAAAGGTATTTTATAACATTGTAGAACCATTGTTTGGGAGAGCCTGTGCTTCTTAGTTCAGAGTTCTTGTTTGTCATTATTTCCCCAGAAACTTGTGTAGAAATTTGACAATTAATTGCCAAACAAACAAAAATAAATCAACAAAAGTGCAATAATGCCTAGGTTCTGTAGTTCATCACTGACAAATTGGTCTGTGTAGATTCTGTCCTTGCAGGAAGTTAATTTAATCTGTCTATTGGTATAAACATTTGTTAACAGTAATTATTTGTTGCAAAATGAGAACAATGAGTTGTCATCTGTGGACAAAAAGCAGTTTTTCTCACATGGTTTTCTAATACATGGCATTTTTTAAAAGGCAGATTTATAAATGTTATTAATCAGGCAAACATAAATGCTGAATGAATGCATATTTGTTTTTAAAGAGTGACCCAGAGTCATTTGTTATGAGATGGGTGGCAAATAAATCCAATAAATAATAAATACATAAAGAGTATAATTATATTTTAGGTACCGTGTTTCCCCGAAAATACAACATGTCCTGATAATAAGACCATGCCACATTTTTTGGATAGGCAAAAATGTAAGCCCTCCCCTGAAAATAATCCCCCTGGACAATCCCCCACCTCCAGCCAGGCAAAGCACCACTCACCGACCTAGCGGTATCCCGAAGGCGCCAAGCCGCAGGAACGGGGTGGGGGTGGGGCAAAGGCTTGCATTGCTTGGCGCCTTTGGGATACCGCTAGGTCAGTGAGCGGTGCTGTGCCCAACTGGAGAGGGAGGGTGCCAGGCGGTTGCTCTCTTGCAAGCGGGCTCCCGAAGAGCCGGGCACAGCCTCAGGGTTGAATGGCTGTGTTATGCTATCACAGCAGCACTACACAGCAGCCATGAGGTGACCATGCTTACGAGCAGCCGCACGGCAACCCCCCTTTCCAGCCAGGCACAGCACCATTCACTGACCTAGGGGTATCGCCAAGCCACGTGATCGCCTGTTTGCCGCCCTCCGACTCCTGTGGTTTGGCACCTTCGGAATGCCCCTAGGTCAATGAATGGGGCTCTGCATGGCTGGAGAGGGGGGTTGCGTGAGTGGCTTTTCTGCTCCTCGCTCGCGCACCTCCCAGCCTCACGATGCCCTTGCTTAACTCTCCCTGCAGAGCCAGGGCATCTCCGCTGCCGCCACCACTCACCACTACCGCATGGCTTTTTCTGCGGCTTCCAAAGCAAGGAGGTAAGTTGCCGAGTCTTCTGGAAGTTGCCACTCTGGGAATACACTCTATGGTTGTACGCTCTGGAAGTACACTCTGCCTCAGCCAGCCTACAACCATAAGACTGCCGAAAGACTCGGCTGCGGATCTCTGGAGTTTGGAAACCAGAGAATAGATTATATTCAGAGCGCTGCAGCAGCACACTGGCCCTGCAGGGAGAACTGGGCCAGGGCATGGTGAGGTTGGGAGGCACACCAGCTGGGGATGGAACAGGCGCTCACGCAACCTCCCTTTCCAGCCAGGCAGACCACCATGCACTGACCTAAGGGTATCCCAAATGCGTCAAGCCGCGGGAGCTGGGGGGGAGGCCAGAGCACCACGTGGCTTAGTGCCTTTGGGATATCACTGGATCCGTGAGTGGCACTTCTGCCCAGCTGGAAAGAGGGGTTGCCGGGTGACTGTTTGTGAATGTGGTCACCTCATGGCTGGTATGTTGCGACAGCCCAAAACAACCCCCCCCCCAATAATAAGACCCAATCAATATTTTGGGGGTCAAAAGAAAATAAGACCCTGTATTATTTTCAGGGAAACATGGTAGCAAATCATACTTTGAACTTCTTCATATACTTGTTTCCATAGTTCTGTTTCTGCAATCAAAAGAGAGAGACTCTCTGAACTTTTGTTTTTGTTTCTGCCACAGTGATCCCAAAATCACATCCGGTGCCATTCCAGGCTTCCCTAATAGTTGGTAGATTTTCAAAGACTATTGAAAAATTCAGCAGAAAAGAAAAATGAGAAAACACAATTTTACAATCTAAAAATGAAGTCTAAACCAATAAGCTAAAACATCAATCGATTTAAGAGAGATGTACAGGGCAAGTTTTGATCATTCTGAGAACTGAGATTAATTTGTCATAGCTATCTAAACAGTAGATAATATGTATGCCTGTACTTTATAATAGCCTCCTACTGATATACATGAAACAAGAAGAAAAATAAAACTAAAGGAAAAGGCATTTCTGTTTAAAATATTTTGACCAGATGAGATTTTAAATCCAACATGACATTATTTACTTAACTGGCTTTATGGATACTATTTGAATGATAATGTGCAATTATAAAATTAACAGTATTTTATAAAAGCATTAAGGCCAATAGGTGGGATGATTAGATTGTCAATTAGATTAGCAAATGAGATATTGGTAGGGTTCAAATTGGAAGTGATATTTGGCCTTTGTTCAAGTTGGTGCCCTCAACATATGCTGTACCAAACCTACCATCTTATTATACAGAGAAATCCTAAATCGAAAGGGAAGATCTGATTTGGAGTGCATATGGGGTGCACACACTACACTCCTATCTGGAACTGTGGCTGCTGCCTATTAAGCCAGGAAAAGACACATTTAAGTATATGCTGATAGTTATCATGTGCTTTGTATAATCTTTTCCTGAATCACATTGCTGCACCACACTACTAACATTATTATGGTGAAAGGAGTTAGGTTTGTTGGGCTAAGCAGCACATGTGTAATAAATATTTAAATAAGATTTAATTCAGCACATCTTAACCATGCCCATACATGGATTTCAAAATTCCAGAAAGACATTCTGGGCATCCAGGTGACTCCTCCTTGTGGTTAATACAGTAATCTTTCAACACTCGAAAGATAAATGTAAGTATGGCCTCCATTTCTCAATGGATTGAAGACAGAATCTTTTCTAGCAAATTAAGAAGGGGCAGTTTAGAGATGGATTATGAATGGAAGATCACAAATATGGTTGTCTTTATTGAAACTTTATATACATATACATCTATGAGAAGGTGTCGCAACTCTATATCAGGGATGTCCAACTCAATTTCATTGAGGGCCACATCAGGGTTGTGTTTGACCTCAGAAGCTGGGCTGGGCGTAGCCAGGGTAGGTGTGGCCAGTTTGACATCACTCGTGTCGGGAATGCCTATGGCCCAAACACTCTGCAGAGAAAACGGGCTCCCAAGTTTCGTTTTCGGCTGGGATGGCCTCCGGCAACCCATTTTTGCTGTCAAAGGACTGTAGGAGGCCGTCCTGCTCAAACACAGAACTCCTCCTAAGCTCCATTTTTGCTGGTAGAGGCACCACGGGCCAGTCATTCGCTGTTTCTAGGGTGGCCAGATCTAAGCCCTCTTGAGTTTGACACCCCTGCTTTATATGATCTTTTGACATTGCTCTCTTGCTTTCCTTTCCTTTTTCCTTTTTTCTAATTTTCTTTATTTTACTTAAGTCTCTCTCTCTCTCTCTCTTCCTCCCTCTCTCCCTCCCCCTCCTTCTATCTCTTTCTCGACAAGCCTGACAAATTTAAACAAAAAATCTCTATACTTATGAAAACACAGAGTTATTTCTTTCTTGAAAGCTTTAATTTACAGTCAAACAAAACAATACATTTTTAGCACCTCCAGAAATTCACCGTGTTGTAAAATTCTCCATTGGTAGCTTTATTTCATTTTTCAGGCAGAGGAAAAAAATGGCTTGATGGTCTCAAGAACTCAAAGTGGCTTTCTCTCATTTGAGTCCTGGCCTCTCTTTCAAAAAGATAGCAGCATTTAGGAATAATGGGTGTGAATGTAGCCCAGGGGTGGGTTCCTGCCAGTTCTAACCTCTTCTATAGAAGAAGTTCCACAAATCTACAGTGCTGTTTAGAACCGGTTCCAGCTCCCTCCCCCCCGCCCGTCCACACATAATCAAGATGAAGAGCGAGAGGAGGAATTCTGGGAGTTGAAGTCCACAAGACTTCACCCCTGGTTTTTTTTTTCTAAAGGGTTAGGGGTGCAAGGGTCTTGTAACTTGACAGCTTTAAGACTTCCGTGCTTCAAATGCCAGAGTTTCTGAAAACAACATTTTGGTTGCTAAGCAAGAGCGTTGTTAAGTGACTTTCACCACATTTTACAAGTTGATCACGCCCACCCAGTCACATGGCTGGCAAGCCACTCCCACCCAGTCACATGGCCAGCAAGCCACTCCCACAAAGCAGGCCACACCTACAGAAGAGTTTCTAAAAACTTTTGAAGCCCACCACTGATGTAGCCCCAATATCCTCCACTGTTCTTCTTTACAGAATGACACCTTATTTCAGAATCAGTAGCTGTGCCAGGGAAGGGTCAGCAACAAAGAAAAAGAGAAGACCAACATATTCAGATATACTATTTTCTTTTTGGTATAAATAACCCAGAGAAAAATCCAATTTATCAGGTAGCAGGGGCATATACTGCTATCTGAATTTGTGCATTTTAAAATAGGAATTCTGTTTGGACCTTCACCTGAGCCATTTGTTTTTTCTTTCATTTTTCCCCAATTAGCCTTATACATAATCCAGTCATGGTGCTTTACTTAACAAGCTATTATTTTAAAAATTTAGTTTAGTATTATATTGAATGAATTGAGCCATTAGTCATATTCTCTCTGTAAAAGTGGGGGTTGTAGCATATTTACCTGTTTAAGTTCTTCCCTTAGGACTTGGTGATTGTAAATTGTAATGGGACTCAAAATGTTATTAAAAGACTGATTTTCTAAATAGTAAACATTAAGCCGCAAACCTTTCAGGGAACCAGTGGTGGGTTCCGGCGGTATGGCCCAGTACAGGCGTACCGGTAGTAGCCAGGAGCAGCTTACAGAGTACCAGTATGGTGGCTTGTTTGGCCCACCTGCGTTCTATACCAGTTTTTAAAGCAACCAGCCAATTGCGCACATGCGCACAGCATGCGGTGCCTGTGCAAGCTCCGACCAGCAACTGGGTGTCGCAGGGGTGGTGGAGTGTGCAAGCATGCGCAGCGCGTATGCACGAAAAGACGCATGGCCTGGTGAGCACTGGTAGCGATGGGGAGAGGAACCTACCACTGCAGGGAACTCTTTGAAAAAGAGTTTTAGTTTAAAAAGGGAATTAGGTTCTCTGTTCTTCTGAGAAGCAGAAAAATAGAAAAAAATCAGAGTAATGGGACATCTTTTCTTGACAAATCCCTTAAATGATGCACTGGGAGACGTTCCTTGGGACACCTAGCATAGCAGTTAAGAGGTTCCCTCTTCATATGAAGCATGTTATGATACAGATTGGCAATGTGTCTGTAGACTCTCAACAGTGTGAGGTGGCAGAATCTGGTAGTTTGAGATGATTAACTTCTATAGACAAGACACTATGATAGCCTGGCCAAAATCCTTTCTATTTTCCAAGTTGGTCTCATGGGAAGCTTATCCTCTTCTCCATCTGGCAGGTTTTAGGCAGTTTCTTAGAGTTAGTGCAAGAAGCCTGAAGTGACTCCAAAATTACTGTGGTTATTGGTATGTTTCATCTTGAGGGATAATATGAAATTCTAATGTTGGAATGAAACACTAACAACATTGAATTCACCTTGAAGTATGACAGAGCAAGATGGTCCTGAATCTCCACTGTTAATATGTTTAATGTATTTTAATTATTTATAGCTTTAATTGTTGGGTTTTACATGTTCATTTTACATGTTCAAAATGTGTTTTAATTAATTTATTGCAGTTAAACGCTACATCAGAAAAGGCATTCCAAATGAGCACCGTGCCGAAGTCTGGATGGTAGTGAGTGGTGCTCGCTCTCATATGGACCACAATCCAGGCTACTACCAGAAATTATTGGAAGGAGACCAAAACAGCAAACTTATAGAAACTATTATGACAGGTTAACTTCAAAATACATATCTATACATTTGTGTGTGTGTGTGTGTGTGTGTATTAGGATTTTGTTGTCCACATTTCTCTTGAATTATGGAGGTGCATAAAATAGATAATTATTGTTTTGCACAGAAGCAATGCTTTTTATGTCAATTAAAACATTATCTTAAGAATCACTGAATTATTTCTCCTTGTCTCTCACTATCTGTCAGAAAAACGGGCAGATATATTGCTGTTAGTCTAGTACTCATTCTAATATAATAAGCTTTAGTTCCTGCAAGTTTAGAATTCTGTGACAACTTTTCCATTTACTTAACTGCAACTTAATTTTTTTAAATTACAGTGTTTATGGGAAGATGAGAGATAGTCCTAAGGTAAAGGTTTCCCTTGCACATATGGGCTAGTCGTTCCTGACTCTAGGGGGCGGTGCTCATCTCCGTTTCAAAGCCGAAGAGCCAGGGCTGTCTCCATGGTCAAATGGTCGTCATGAGTAAATGCAAAGGCACATGGAACACTGTTACCTTTCACCAAAGGTCCCTATTTTTCTACTTGCATTTTTTCATGCTTTTGACCTGCTAGGTTGGCAGAAGCTTGGACAAGTAACGGGAGCTCACTCCTTTACGC